AAAGTATGCTGGTTTATATCGTAAATAAATTAAACAAATGTTTCTCTAGCAATTGCACATTTTGGCTCGTTCAGATGGCACTTCATTGCAAAAGAACATGCTTCTCGGCATTGTGGAAGCCATTTCTTTTAAAAAAATAATAATTTGGGAATCGGTGTGCTGGTAGTCCTCGACTTACGACATCAATTGAGCCCATCATTTTTGTTGCTAAGCAAGACAGTTAAGCGAACGTCACCCCATTTGATGATCTTTCCTGCCACCGTTGTTGTTAAGTGAATCACTGCAGTTGTTAAGTTAGTAACATGGTGGCACAGTGAATCTGGCTTCCCCATTGACTTTGCTTGTCAGAAGGTTGCAAAAGGAAATCACACGATACTGCAAACGTTATAAATATGAATCAATTGCCAAGTGTTTGAATTTTGATCACGTGATCATGGGGATGCTGCAATGGTCATAAGCAGAGGTGGTATTCAGCAGGTTCTTGACCAGTTCTGGAGAATTAGTAGCGGAAACTTTGAGTAGTTCAGAGAACTGGTAAATACCACCTCTGACTGGCCCCGCCCCCATCTATTCTCTGCCTCCCGAGTCCCAGCTGATCAGGAAGAAATGGGAATTTTGCAGTAACCTTCCCCTGNCTGTACAATATATTAGAAACGGCACTTTCTTCCTCTTCCTCTTTCAGCGACTCACTGATTATAAATTCTAGCTAAGTGGCTCTCTGAACTTGGTTGTTTTCTTGGGATGTTTCATGTCCCAAACAAGATAACATCATCAGTAGGGAATCGGGTTGCTCTTATTTTAGCTAGGTGACTTCTTGGTCCTCTTAAATTTCTGTGTTACTTGGATATTATTGAGGTCTTTGGCAGGAGCTTTCTAAGCTATAGCAGACCTTCAGGTCACTGATATCTGCATTTTTTTATATGGTCATGTTTCTAACAATAGCGTATTTTACTGATCTCATGTTAGATGCCCAAGAAATTAGTTTTTAGCCTTGCATTGGCATCGTACATGCTGAATTATGCTGTGAACTTTACTTTCTAGAAGAAGTCCAGAGCTGTTTAAGACATCAAGGCTGCTTGTTTCCTTTCGACTTTGTCTTGTATTGAAAATACAAATTGGCAGAGTAAGTTGCCAACAAACAGAATAAATAACAGAGATAATTTTAGACAGCACAGAATCACCTCCTGGAATTCATTTCTGCAACAAGCTATTGAATCAAGGAGCACAGGCAGATTTTAGAAACAGCTGGATAATTTCCAGCTCATTAACAATATTTGTGCCTCTGCAAAATGTAGGTTTAGCACAAATCTCATGATTCAGAATGTTAAATAATTGTGTCCTGTTCTATCATATTGATTCCTTCACTGAGCTTGTAACACATTTTACAAATGACTGAGAACTTTACTGAAGGAAAAAAAAGTAGTTTTGAACAACTTGTTTGTGTGGTAAAAAAAATGTTATTATTTTGTACTTGTTTGGGTTCATTGCATACCTCAAGGTATATTTCAGAAATATATTATAATCAGTAGAAGAGGCAGATTTCCTAATAGTTTTGCTGCAAGAGCATGCATCTCTCTGGGTATGCTTGTAAGTATGAAGAGGAAGCATAGATACTGAATTCTTGAACAATTGTGTTTGCTTTTGTGCAAGTTAAATCCTATTCTTCTGTATTCCATGTTCCACGTTGGATGCATGTGTGACATGTCTTAGCACAATAATTAAGCTACAACTTTCCATCAGGAAAGGACTACAGAATAGGATCCAGCATCTACCAAGATTAGGGAGAGAAAATCTCCCTAGCACCCACTATAAGGCAATTCAAATATTTCAACCAAAGTACTGATTACTAAGAGTTTAATTGCACTAGAAAAAAAGCCAATTTGTTGCAATACTTAAGACACTAGGCCAGAAACCAAAATAATGTGAGTCCTAGTCCTATCTTAGGGATGTGGTGGCTCAGTGGCTAAGACACTGAGCTTGTCGATCAGAAAGGTTGGCAGTTTGGACATTCGAATTCCTAGTGCCACATTAACAGAGTGAGCTCCCTTTATTTGTTCCAGCTTCTGCCAAGCTAGTAGTTCGAAAGCATGTAAAATATGCAAGTAGAAAAATAGGGACCATTTTTGGTGGGAAGGTAACAGTGTTCTGTGCACCTTCGGTATTTAGTCATGTCGGCCAGTGCTGAATTTTCGGCTTTGAAACTGACATGAGCACCACCCCCTAAAGTCAGGAATGACTAGCACATACAGTATGTGTGAGGGGAACCTTTACCTTTAGTCCTGCCTTAGACACAATTGGATAACCTTGGGACAGTCACTGTTTCTCAACCCTAGGAAGGAGAAAATAGCAAACCACTTCTGATATCTTATTTAAAAATACCTGAAGGAGTCAAGTCCAGGAAGTCACCAAGACTTAAAGGCATGTGTGTGCCTTCACATACACAAACACATGCAACACAACACAGCACATTAGAATTATTCTATCATGACATTATGCAATCGTAGCATTTGTGTGAAAAAATAGATGGGAGTCAAAATGCAATTTCATTTTATGCAAAAGTAAAGACTTCAAGTCAAGCTCCTCTCAACTCAATTGACATGTCCCTTGTGGGCTTTTTGGCAGAAATAGCAAAGTGTTATTCTTGGAAAGTGATGTATAATGTGCAACTGCCTTTTTCCAGCATTTATTTTATTTTGGGAATTTTTTTAATATAATGCGAGGTGACAGGTAGCCCCAGCTTGATATCCTTGGTCCACCTTTAACTTTCAGCTGGGAGTTGGCTTAATTGAACATGACACTGCATAGATGTGGGTTTCTTTTTTCCCAACAAAATGATAGTTACAATGTTTTATACATTTATTTGAAGTATTTATATCCTGTCTGCTTTTCTGGGTTGGCTCACAATCTACTTAAAATGCAATAAGGTAGATGAAGAATCATTAAAGGATCCCTTCAGGCACTTCTCTAACAAGTTCTCCGAGCTATCATTATCTTTCTTTGAATCACAGAAGATTCCACAGGAAAACCTCGCCGTTCTAAACAGCTACTGGAGCAACTGCCTTCGGTCTTAGTGAATTATACCCTCTAATAGCTGCGGATGCTTCTTTCCTCTTCGATTCCCATGCTGCTGGTCCCTGAAGATTCACTGGGCAGCACAGATGCTTCCATGAATTTTGCTGACTTGCACTTGCTACCGACTGTGATGGGTGTCCAGTCATAAATCTATTGGCTTATAAATCTCCCCTCCCTCTTTTTAAAGACACACGGACTGCTTTAAAACAGACACACAGCTACCCATGTTCTGTTTTTGGAAACTTGCTTCCATTAGTAATTTTATGGCAGTGATGGCTCACTGATCGGCTGTCCATTCTGAAAGAGAGGGCTTCAATCCGCTGAAAGCCCTTAATAATATATGTGTAGGAGCATTTGACTTGCAATAGTGATATTATTGATCTGACACCATTAAGGTTTGCAGGATTTATTTCTTTAAAATACATACACATTACAAACCTACTAATTGTTTCTCATTGACCCATATGTTCAAAAGACAAAGCCAGGCAAGGAAGATGCTTAATATGTTTTTTTTAAAATAGTCTTTATTAGTTATACATTTTTTTAAGGATAAAACATACAAATACAAATACAGTTTTAAACATATAACCCCCCCTCCCCCCCCGCGNGACTCTGTAAACCGCTTAGAGAGGGCTGAAAGCCCTATGAAGCGGCATATAAGTCTAACTGCTATTAGCAATAGCACTTAAGACTTATAAACCGCTTTGCAGTGTTTAAAGCCTTCTCTAAGTGGGAGTCAGCCTCTTGTCCCCAACAATCTGGGTCCTCATTTTACCCACCATGGAAGGATGGAAAGCTGAGTCAACCTTGAGCTGGTCAGGATCGAACTCCTGGCTGTGGGCAGAGTCAGCCTGCAATATTGTATTCTAATCCCTGTGCCATCAGGGCTCTAGAATAGGAATAGAAATAGCACTAGCAATGCCACTTAGACATATATACCGCTTCGTAATGCTTTTATAGTCCTCTCGAAGCCACTTAGAGAGTCAGCCTGTTGCCCCCAACAATCTGGGTCTTCATTTTACCCACCTCGGAAGGACGGAAGGTTGAGTCAACCTTGAGCTGGTCAGGATCGAACTCCTGGCAATGGGCAGAGTCAGCTTGCAATACTGCATTCTAACCACTGCGCCACCTAATCAGCAATAGGTCAGACTTATATACTGCTTCACAGCCCTCTCTAAGCAGTATAGAGAGTTGCCCTCTTGCCCCCAACAATCTGGGTCCTCGTTTTTCCCACCTCGGAAGAATGGAAGGCTGAGCCAACCTTGAGCCCCATCAGGATCGAACTGCTGACAGTCGGCAGAATTGCCCTACAATACTCCATTCTAACCCCTGCACCACCAGGAAGGAGAAGAATGAGAAAGGGAATAAGAGGGCAGGCAGGCAATAGCCCTTAGATTTATACACAGCTTTACGGCCCTCTCGAAGTGGTTGAGTGTCAGCCTCTTGCCCCCAGCAATCTGGGTCCTCGTTTTACTGACCTCGGAAGGATGGAAGGATGAGTCAACCTATTTTTGTGTCCCCCTCCTCCTCAGAAAGGACCATATCAGATGCATAAAATAAATGGGGACCCTTTGCAGGGAGTGAAACTCTCCGAATAGGGTTTTTTTCCAATATCAGTGGGGCAAAAACTGAAAACTGTCTTCCATGCCATTCCCCCCCCCCCCCCCCAAAATCTTCCCCATCCTCAATATTCTCTGCTGGCTGTCAATTATCTTCCAGCTTTGTGATGGGCTCCTTTTAAAAACGCCGAGACTTAAAAAAAAACAGAACCTTTTCTCTATTCAAAAGTTTCCTGGAACTGTGATCCAGCCAGCTGTTATGAAACAAATGGGTCCCGTCCCCCCTTTTTGGGGGGTCTGTGTGTGAAACCCTCCAGGCCCATGATCTGTTTGCACAACCAACTAGGACCCATAGCAGATGGAAGAGAACTAACCACCTTCAAGGACAACTTGGTCATGGCCGATGCAGACATGGTGAAGGTTTTGCATCATTCTGGTGAAAAAGATTTTAAAAAGGGGGTGTGTAGGGGTGGGGTGAGGAACTGGTTCACGGCATCCTCTCTTCATTGTTGTTGACCAATTAGGAGCCTGGCTTTGGGTGGGTTTGTGTCTGAAGATGTCACAGAGGCCTTTTGTTTCCGAGTGGGGGGAAATAAACATATATATTCCCCCCACTTGGAATCTATCTATCTATCTATCTATCTATCTATCTATCTATCTATCTATCTATCTATCTATCTATCTATC